TATTTATGAAAAACAAAAAAAGTAAGGGGGTCAAATCCATAAAACCCCAAAAGCATGGGATAAAAAAAGAAAATATTATAAAAGTAAGCACAAAATGAGGACCGTACGATTAATAAGATCAACGGTGAGATACAACCAAGTGTTACCCAGTCGGAAAAATAACAAATTTGCTCATTTCCCCACAATCTCCTCCTAACAACGCCGCTTTCCCGATTCCGGTAAGTAGGGTTTAGCCTTTTTTCATTTCGAACACATATCAAATCAATCGGGGAATTTTGACTGCTTAATTCAGGTACTCTTTTAGTTTGCTTCTTCGTTATTTTCTGTATTTTGTTAATATTGACATACTCATTTTGTATCTGTTTTGCTGTTTGTATTGGAATTTAATCGATAATAGTATGATTGTTGTTCGAAACAAGGTTGCATTCTATTGTGGTTTGCATATTTTAGAATTTGAACCTAGGTTCTCTTTGAACGATAGTGTTTTGTACTGTTTATGACTTTATGGTATTGATTGTTCTGCTGTTGATTTATTTGTAACAGTTGCTTAAAACTGCATTTCATGCATCTGCATAGAAACAACATGACTTTCGAAGAATTCAGGAAATATTCATGTCTCAATCTACGTATAACTAAAAAAATCATAAGAGAGCTATAGTGCCTAAAGTGTTCTCGGTGCAGGAATTAGATTGTCAACTTTTATATAAGCGGAACTTTGAGGCTGGATATCATGTATTCCATTTTATGTTTGAGTGGCTAGCCAGAAGAAAATGAAGAAGTTAAGAAGTATAATGTGGTGTGACTGAAAGCTTATGAATTACAGATATGTAGTAAATAATCCTTGAAGGTTTGTTGATGGGAAATAATAAATTTGATACTGTGTGATTAGAGTTTAGATTAAATTCAGATGACAATTTTTATTAGACAAAAACACAACATGAAGTACAATAACAGAAAGTTTAATTCAGGCCTGGAGCATTTGTTTATCACCACTAACTTTTAGTGTAGACTTACATTACAGCTTTTTTTTAAAGCTGGTTTGTTAATAATACAAATTACTTCTGTTAAAAAAGGTTTAGTTTAGACCGGGATAGCAATAGCAGGGGAGAAGGGAAAGGTACTTCAATCAGCTCAATTTGATTGAAACTTTGATGTTATCCTTGATATAGCAGTGAGCAGCCCAAACTCAATTTTGAAACCAAACACAGATTGATCTACTGTCTTTGTTTCTGTTTCCAAATATTCCCAGTGCCAATATAGGGTGTGTTTGGTATGAAGGAAAATGTTTTCCATGGAAAATGTTTTCCTAGAAAATGTTTTCTTGGAAAACAAGTTGGATTTTGACTTATTTTCCCATGTTTGGTTGGTGAGTAGAAAATATTTTTCGAAAAAGATTTTTCTGTGTTTGATTTATGAATGAAAAATGTTTTTGAAAAATTTCTTTTATTTTTACTAGAGTAGAATAAAAAGTTAAAAATTAAAATTTTAAAGTTAAAAATATTTTTTAAAAACAAACTTAAATTTTTTTTTGGGGGGTGGGGGGGCTGGTAGGGGTTGGGTGGGTGGGGGGTCAAGGGTAGGGATGAAAAAATGAAATTTTGAAGTCGAAAATATATTTTAAAAACAAACTTAAACTTTTTTTTTTTTGGGGGGGGGGCGGGGGGGGCTGGTAGGGGGTGCGTGGGTGGGGGGGTCGAGGGTAGGGGTGCAAAAATGAAATTTTGAAGTCGAAAATATTTTTTAAAAATAAACTTAAACTTTTTTTTTTGGGGGGGGGGGGGGGGCTGGTAGGGAGTGCGTGGGTGGGTGGGGGGTCAAAGGGTAGGGGTGAAAAAATGAAATTTTGAAGTCGAAAATATTTTTTAAAAATAAACTTAAACTTTTTTTTTTTTGGGGGGGGGGGGGGGCTGGTAGGGAGTGGGTGGGGGCGTGGGGGGGTCAAGGGTAGGGGTGAAAAAATGAAATTTTGAAGTCGAAAATATATTTTAAAAACAAACTTAAACTTTTTTTTTTTTTGGGGGGGGGGGCTGGTAGGGGGTGGGTGGGTGGGGGGGTCGAGGGTAGGGGTGCAAAAATGAAATTTTGAAGTCGAAAATATTTTTTAAAAATAAACTTAAAACTTTTTTTTTTTTGGGGGGGGGGGGGGGTGAGGGGTCAAGGGTAGGGATGAAAAAATTGAAATTTTGAAGTCGAAAATATGATTTAATATTTTTGGGGAGTGGGGGGGCTGGTAGGGGGTGGGTGGGGAATGGGTAGGGGAGTCGAGAGAAAGGGTGAAAATATGAAATAATATTTTATAGAAACAAACTTAAATTTTTTTCTTTTTGAAGGGGGTGGGGGCTGATAGGGGCTGGGGGGTGGGGGCAAGGGTAGGGGGTAAAAAATAAAATATTGAAATTAGAAATATCTTTTAAAAACAATTTTTAATATATTTTTGGGAGGAGTGGTAGTAGGGGGTGGGAGTAGGGTGAGGGTGGGGTAAAAATGTTGAATTTAAAAACAAACTTAAAATTTTTTTTTTTAGGGGAGGGGTGGTTGGGGGGTTGGTTTGAGTGTAGGGACAAAATAAATTGATTTTTTCAACAATTTTTTTTTAAATTGAAAGTTGGAAGAGAGTTTGGAAAATGTTTTCCTTAAGTTTTGAAGGGAAGTCATTTTCCTTAAATTTGAGGAAAATGAGTTGATTTGGAAAACATTTTCCAAAACATTTAACCCAACCAAACATGAGAAAATTAGAAAACACACACCCATAATGTTATGTCCAACACTATGATCTTTTAAGGTTTATGCTTGGCTGTGGGTGATGTAATGGTCATGTAGCTGAGAGGTAAAAGAAATGGAAAGCCGAAAGCCTAGAATGTTCTTCTCAGAAAATCATGTGGACATGTGGAGAGAGAAATATGAGAGTCTTTGAGCTAAATAAATCTCTGTAGGCCACATCTACAGGAATTCGATATGTTTTATGTACATATGGAGCTTATTGGACATTCCCAATGAATAAGTGATTACCTAGAATCTCTATATTGGAACTGCAATCTTTAAGATGTTTTTCTGTACATCTTCTGTATGGATTAATCCCTTCTTCTCAATGATGTACCTTATCTGTAAAAAGTAGGCTGCTTATAGTACAAAAATGCATTTAAGGTTGCTAAATTGATATTGGATATATTACCATAGAGAATTTTGTAGTGAGTTCTGTATGTGTTATTTGTTCTTGTCTGTGTTAGTAACAAATATACTCAACTGGTTTAGCACCAACATTAAGCATCACGGTGTTATTTTAAAGGACTGAGACTAACATTTTAAGCTAGCGTTTGGCCATAGATTTCCAAATATTCTTGGCAAATATTATTTAGGTGAAATTTCACGATGTGTTTGGCCATAGTATTTGGGAAACACATTTCACTTTTTTAGAAAATATGATTTATACCCGTAAGTTTTAAAAACTATCAAAACTAACAATAAGTTTGTATTACAAGTCAATTGGATCTTCGTTGCAACAAATAACAAGTAGTGTCCATGACACTGGAGCAATGTGGTAGTTTTGGAGTGAGTGCACCAAGCATCATTCCATACATCGTGAAGTAGAAAAAACACTTGACTTTGTTACCTTGAACCAGTGTTCTTAAAGGCGAGCGCCTCTCGCCTTTGGCGACAAGGCGAGGCGAGGCGAGGGGTTTGCGCCTATTTCAGGCAAGGCGTGGCGAGATCAAAAAGGCGAGCCAAGGCGAGGGGTGACGTGGAATTGGCGATGCAATAGGCGTCGCCTTTTTCTTCTTTTTTTTTAGAAGTCTGAATTTTAATAATTAAAAAGCCAAATAATCAAATTAGGGTTTTTTTTGGGTATTTTTTCAAACTTATGACGCGACTGCTGCTCCTCATTTCGCGACCGGAGACTTGAAATCAATCCCTCGACTGGAATTAGAGTTCGCGACTACTGCTGCTGCGATTGGAAACTTGAAGTCGACTGTCGCGACTGCTGCTGCTGCGAGTTCGCGTCTGCTGCTGCTGCTCAGCTTGAAAAAGTACAGAGAAGAAGAAGAGGAGGAGTTTTTTCTTGAAAAGTACAGTAAAGTACAGAGAAGAAGAGAGAAGAAGAAGAGGAGGAGTTTTTTCTTGAAAAGTAAAGGAAGTACAGCTTTTTTAGTATCTTTTTTCAAAAAGTAGAGTCTTTTCAACTTTTCTTGAAAAAGAAAACTAGAGACAAAGAGTTTCTCTAGATAAGTGTGTCCTTTTTTATTTATAAAATAAATTATACTTTTAATATTTATTATATTTTCTCTCTTCTTTAACAATTATACTCCTCTTATTTTGTATGTAATTATATCAAAATATGCAATTCATTATTATATATATTTCATAAATATTTTTAGTAATATTTTATTATATATATATATATATATCACTTATTTGGTATTAATTGGCGCCTCGATTCAAAAAGGCGAGCGCCTCGCCGCTGCGTGGCGAGGCAGGCCCTTGTCGCCTTTTGTCGCCTCTCGCCGTCCAAAACACTGCCTTGAACTGAATGTTCATCATTTTCATCAACAATCATATCATCACTTTCATATTCATCGAATATTTCATCACTACTTTGGTGTTCACGGAAAAAAATATGTAATACAACACAAACAACTACTATAGAGGGTGTTTTTGTAAAAAGATAAAAGTTTGGTGTAAAATTTCAATTTTTAAAAGATCTCAAATAATGAGATTTAGCCCAAATACTAGAAAAAACTAGTATTTGGGAATTTGGGATATTTGCCAAAGTATTTGTCAAATAATGACAAATTGTATGACAAATTGTATGGACAAACACTATTTGCCAATTATTTCCCCAAATATTACTTGGGAAATCTATGGCCAAACGGGTCTTAAGCATATAATTCTGCTCAAGTGTTTGTGTTACCTTCATTTTAATTGAACATGTGCACTATTTCTTTACTTGCTATCTTCTAATATGATATTTGTGCTTCCTTCATTCTAATCGAACCTGTGTGCAGAGATTCTGTAGAATTGATGATGACAAATGAACCATCTTCTAGAAGAGACAAAGAATCTTATAACAAAATGAACAAAAATAGTTTTAGTAATATGAGATGTCCACATTGCACCGGTCCTCTTTCTAAGGAGATGGTAAACAATTGATTCTTGTTCTCTTTTTTATTTTTAAAAAAAATTGTGTGTTTTTTCATTGTATTTCTGAGTGTTAATACAATGTTATATGTATGAGTGATTCTCTCATTCCATTGCAGGAGACAAGCGAGTGGACAGTTCCGCCTCTAATCCGGGATAGCTTTTCTATGGTTTGATATCAATGATTTACATTGACACTACTTTATTTTTCCAATTCTTGAATGATAAAATCTGGTTCTCTCTTTATTTTATGGTGCACAATTTGAATAGACCACTGGATTTGACAAATTAAATTGCATATGCATAATGTAAAGCATTAGCAGTAAAGGAAACTTTGAAGAATTCATACTTGAAAAATTGGTTATAGCGGGAACCATTGGTATTTGAAGTTGAATTGTTAAATAAATTTTAATTCTTGAATGTTGAAACATATGACAGTTACATAAAATAAAAATACCAACCAATGTTAGAGATGTTTTAAATGTTATCTGAATCCCTCCCCCCCCCCAATTTAAAAAGTGTTTGATGAAATCGCCAGTAGAAAATCTATAGCATAAATTGGGACAGTTTTAAAATTTTTGCCTTAGCGGTTTGTATTTTATTACACTCCGATTTGTTACTAAATCTGCTTGTCCTAATTCATCTCCCCCCCACCCCCTTCCTTCTTACTTAACTACTTCCCTGATATTTCAGATTGGTTCTGCAGTTGGTGGTACTACAAGTGCATTCTATGGCTTCAACCATGGAACTTAGCAGCAGTATTTTGACCATCTTCCTTAGTTTCTTTTTGTATTTGTATCCTTGCTGCTAACATGCTCTATGTATTTATACCCCTTGCAGAGGTGAAATATTCTGTATTGATTATAATCTGCTTTATATGTAGCAAAACGTATATTGGTGATTCATATAGCCGACTTCAATTAGTTTGAATGAATATGTAATTGTTGACTTGTTGTATAATCTTCTTCATATAGCAACCCAACCATGCTGTAACATGATGAAAGTAACTCTATGAAAATAAAATGGGAAGAATTTTTGCATTAGTCACTCAGTGGTTCTATCACCTAAAACATTTCTCTCTTAGGGCTCAACATGCCATTTGGTTTACCTATATTATCTAATGGAAGATGCCAAAGATATAATTTTGGTTCTGGAACTTTATTTTTGTATATGTGGAATGTCCTTGTTTGCTTCTATATTTGTTTTCTTTACAATGTTCAGAAATTCCTGGGTCACTTAAACGTTCAATCTAAGTTGCAAATGTCTCCTTACCTTTTGAGGAATATGCCTCAAATTTCTGGGATTTCAAAGTTTGACTAATTATAATTACATTTCAAAGCATATCCTTTTCCTTAGTTTGGGAGGAACATGGAATGTCTTATTCTTTTAATGATAATCCAAGAAACTGGAAAATTCCATGTTTTGTTCTGTCTTTTTATAGAAATTGCCTTTGGCATCTCCTAAGCTCCATTTCCAAAGGTTTGGACTTAATTTAGCATCTGGTTGGCCATCTTACGTGATTTGAGGCTAATTAACATCAATTTTTCCTAATTGAGAAATTGCAAATTGATGGGATATCAACATTCTTCTGCTGGTGTTCTTCTTTAAGAAGAGTATTTAAAGAAGCTCACACTTTTAGCTTCATATAACTCCCTCTTAGGCTGTGGCAACTTTCTAATCATTGATAATCAGTTCTTATAAAATCAATTATCGCATAAATCTTGCCTATCACAGAAGAAGAGGAAAGGAACTGTCGAACTCTTAACAATTTAGTTGAACGTTTGCTGTAAATTTCTTTTACTGTTGATGTTCTAATCATCTTATTAGTAGTTAAGTACTATTTAGTGTTTACAGTGTACGTATCAAAGGATTTCTGACGAACAACACCACATGCATTAAAAATGTGTAAAAGATGAGCAAAGATCTTTGGTAGTATGTTGTTTCTTTGTAAATCATTCTTCTTACTTTACAGAAGATGCATTTCTGGTTTCTGAGGATAATGTATGTCTGTCATGGAAGCATCTCTTGAGTCATTGAGCCTTTTTTAATCAAGTTCATATCTGTACTGGAGCCTAAATACTATTTTTTTCCGACTTTATATGGTGGAATTTGTTTTTTTAATAGACATGTCAAATCTGAGATGATTCATTTATGTACAAATACTGTGCATAATTTTTTTTTAATGGACCTGGTATCCACGTTAATGTGAAAATGCTGTCTGAATGACAATCATATTAATGTTAACCAACATGTCTTGTCTCTATCTTATTCCTCTGATTCCTACTTGCAGTGATGCCGATTGTCAGAAGGTGGGTTAAAGGACCTATGTGGTTGCATTTCCTTGTTGGTGTAAGTTACCTTTTTTTTTTTTTTTCTATTTCCTTATATTGCGAGATACAAAGGGTATACTGTACAAAGAGGCTTAGAAGAAGTTTGTAATGAATTCTCAGTTAAGCTTATAGATGCTAGCATACATTGGAACTACTAAGTTTAAATGCACTAGACTTCCATTTTGTAAATTCTATATATTGTCAGCACTACCTTTGAGTCATAAATAATTTAGGCAATAGTAAAGCATATCTACATACATGACAAAAGTATAAATACTTGTGGGATTACAGTGGATATGTTGTTGTTGTACTCCTATTATCTGGTTGTTTTTAGTGTTCTTTTTCCTTGAATGGTTTTATTTTTTAGCTGTAGCTTTTTTCATAAACAGTTTAAATGTTGTTTTTGTAATTTTTTGTGTTGGGTTTATGCAGGCTCCTCCTGTGATTGTTTTCTCATCTGCATGTGCAGGGCTAGCAGGTTTGAACTTTACTTCTTCTAAGCGTTTACCTCCCGTCTATTCTGTAAAATAACTTGCTCTTTGTTTTACCTATTATTGTTTCTAGATTGTATGCTCTTGACATGAGTAAATCATGAATGTATTCCTTTTTTTTTTTTTTTTTTTTTTTTTCCATTTGACATTCTCTTCCATGGTTGAAACCTTGCAGGTGGTGCTGTTCCAGCATTTGCACAGCTAGCATCTTCTTCTTACCATGCTGTGATCTCATCTTCCACATTACCACCTACAGCCTCACAAGATGAAAACATGAGAAAATTTTGAACTTCCTCAACTTTGTAGCTTAAACACTGAGAGGAAATGTTTTTACTATCAGGAATCTTGTGCCTTCTGCGGGATCATCTCCTAGTTCGCGACATTCTGTCCTCTCCTGTTTACTTGCTCCGGTTGTGTTTAAGTCTGCTTTTGTCTAGTGAAATTAGTCAAGTTGCACGTAAGCTGGTCAGACATTACAGATGTCTACTTCTGCTTCTGTCTGATGTTTTTTTTTCTTTCGAGAATATATTACTTGTCCATGTCATTGAGTTTGTTTATTTTGTAAATTCCAATCTTATTATTTCAGTGATGGTAGAAATTTTACACAGTTTTTTGAGGAAGTCGAGTGCGTGATAGTTTTCATAGCTCAAACAGGCATGTTATTTTTGTTACTAATATTTATGTATTCGGAATTCTATTATCATGTTTGATTTAGGGATTTGTTATATCAGTTGTCCGCTTATTCTATTCTACAAGCTACACTGATTCAAGACGGAGTTTGAGAGTGAAATTTGAACAAATAATGAACTATTCTCGTGGCGAAAACAAGAATGTTTGTACTTCTTCATCCACCAGAGAAATTAGAATCAGTTGCACGTCAAACTTTAACTAGTTAAATGGCATGAAGATGTTAAAATTGTGGTGCCTGTCACCTTCAAAGCCTGCGGCAGCCGCTTTATACATATATATCGTCCAGTTTCCTGGTTGTAACTCTGCTGTTAGGTGTAGGATAATGACGTTGTTTTTTGCGAACTTTGACATTTAGATTCTGGAAACTCTGCACTTGATATTTGTTCCCTTAGCAGGAATTTCAGTTCTAATTTCTTTAGCCAGAATCTGATTGTTTCTCATATTCCAGATGCTTTCTACATGATGGATGCCATTACCAACTTGCGCCTCTAGATATGCTGTTGGGGTCCTCATTGGTGATAAGGTAAACAATATGTTGTTGATGGCTTAAATGCATCTTTAACTCCCTCATGAAGTTTGATTGACTAGTAGTTAGTCTTCTGCAGTTTCTGTATGTGCTTATGCATTTTTCAGTTGTTGTCCTTTTTCTTTTTAAAAATCTAATCAGGACCATAACAATGTCATGGATGCCATTACCAACTTGCGCCTCTGGATATGCTGTTGGGGTCCTCATTGGTGATAAGGTAAACAATTTGTTGTTGATGGCTTAAATGCATCTTTAACTCCCTCATGAAGTTTGATTGACTAGTAGTTAGTCTTCTGCAGTTTCTGTATGTGCTTATGCATTTTTCAGTTGTTGTCCTTTTTCTTTTTAAAAATCTAATCAGGACCATAACAATGTCGAGTAGCTACTCTCTCAACTTCCAGTGTGATCAAGTCAATTTTATATCAGCTTCAAGTTGAAGCAAATCATCCGCTGTCAAATCTGACTCTACTGTTATCTAGCGGTCTGGAACTGCTACAATAGTATAGTGCTTCTGGCTCTCTTATTCACCCCAAGTTCTGCCACTAAGGGGTTGTTTGGTTGGGAACAAGTTTTCGAGGGATTCATTATTCTGTGATAAGTTATTCCACCATGTATATGGGATAACTTATCCCATCACTATGGTATAAATGGTGGGATAAATAATCCAAGGACTACCTAATACCTCCAACCAAATGCAGGATAATAATCCTGCATTTTATCCCGGGATTATTATACCTTATACTTCACACCAAACTATTCCTTAGTAGTAAAATGTTGTCACGTTATTCTAGCTATATTCTTTTGTTTCTTATATACATTGGTGTGAATAACTTTAACTAAATTTCTGGGTTTGCTAATAGTGATTTGAAGCTCATTTCTGCAGTCAAAAGTAAAATATTAAAGCTTACTAATGTTCTCCATAGTCACTCTTGCTTCCCGTTTGTTATGCAGTTACACCTCAATCCTGTTCATGCAGTTGTACAACTCCGGCCATCAAAGTGGAATCTTAAGGAAAGTGAGTTGAAGAAGAACGTTATCGCCAACAATGATGAAGAAAGTGTTAACTGAAGACGTCAAGGAGAAAAGGCCCGTGGGACCATCAAAGAAGCAGGTTCATTTCATGATTTTCTCTTTGATGACAGCTCCTAAGCTCAACTTATATGGACCTTGTATATGACCACTTTTCATGTGATATTATGGCACAGATCTTTGGCTAGCACTTAAAATATCATATGTCAAGGACTTCCCATTTCCTGCTTTACTAGGTTTGCCACATTTTTGGATAATAATGATAACGGGAATGCCTAAAGATAGGTCTTCAGTGGTTAAGCAGTCTGCTACTTCAAGTCTTACTTTTTCTTGTATGGTAAATGCCACACCTACCTGCCTTTCCACTTCGCCTCAATTGGTGACTCGAGTCAACCCCAACTTTATTGTTGGAGGTGGAGAATCTTTTGCAACTAGGCTATCCTTCCTTGATGTTGTACAAGCTTTTTGTAAAAGTGTGTTTCTTTTCCCTTGATTTATTCTTGAAACATATACCTTTTGTGTAGAAAAAACCACCTGGGATAGAAAAGGATATTGGAGAGGTATGTGCACCTGTGAACATGTACTCACAAAATTTCTGCTTTTCAGTATGAACTAATAACTCTCCATATTGTTCTTTAGCTTGAGTGGCTGCTGATTTTTCACCTACATGGTTTGAATGACGTTTCTGTTGCAAGTGTTTTCTATTTATATTTGCTCAAGAGCAGTTAGCTTGCTTCACGCAGTTGCAAGTATCATTCCAAACAGTTTCATTGATGCAGATCCTTGTGAAGTTATTAACATCTGTTTTTTTCCCTGTTTTAGCATTGGTTACATCTAAAATACCATGGGGTTAGGAGTGACATTTGAGCCAGATATCTGCAGAAAATGGCCATGGAGGAAGGCTCTCCAGTACCATTTTCAATGAGCCCGTATGTGTGCTAATATGGTTTATTTTTCTTTGCTTGAACGATATTTTTTTTGGGCAAACTGCTGCTGTTCAGGACAACTAAAAGAAGCATTTTCCCTGCCTCACAGCATACATTTATCTACTCTCATTCTAATACCAGTGTTCTTTTCTTATTCGATACGCAGGGTTGATTATTTGAATGCCTTTTGTCCTGGAAGACCAACTGACACCGACAGATTAAAAATTCTTCGAACAAGGTATTGCAGCCACTCTAATTGGTCCTTCACATCGTGTGTTTTGACATTGAAAGGTTTGGAGGAGCTGCTAAGGACAAAAACAAAAAATTTATTTACATCTATGATCATATAGATCGTCTTCTTCTTTATTGTTGGGTGTTATCATCCTCTAGTATTTCACTATTGCTGGACCATTTCACTGCCTGCAAATTATCTTCTTTTCTTTTCCATGGAAATTGCTAATTACTGTAATGCATTTCCTTATTTCTTGCTTTCTTTCTTTGTATTTATTTATTCACTTTTTGCATTCTGTATAATGTTGAGTTGAGGTTTGTGATTATCTTTGATTACTTGTTCATAATCTAGTGTTTTTAGTTAGCAATTGACTTGTCTTTGGTTGATGGACTGGTAATTTCCTACAATGTCAGAGATCAGATTCACATAGTAATTAAGCCTAGTTGCAACATCAATGAATGTAATTCTCATATATTAAATTTGTAGATACATTTTTCTGAGCTGGGGAAAAATCTCTCTAATTAAAGAGGGGGCACAGGAATACTCTGGCTTAGACTCACGGGGAGTAGCGAGAATGTATGAAACTGGAGCAAATAATATTTAATTAGGAGAGAATGTAAACACAAGAAAGGCATGCAAGCTATTAATCACTCAAACATTAAGGTCTAGCTAATCATTGGCAAATGTTGTGCCATGGATCTATTAGTAGCAAGTCTATTATTTTTTCCCCCGACTTTGATGGTTGGACTTGCTCTATATTTTATGTTAAGTACATATTGGTGTTCCCTCTAAGAGACACTTCAAAAACAGTCTAGACTCTAATTTCTCTCGGTCCTGTCAGTGTCATAAAGCCAAAAAAAATTAAAAATCTCTGATCTACTCAGAGGTAGAGCAAAGATTTGAAGCATATGGGTTAAGTATTCTAGTTTGAAGTTATTGGGTTCTTAATTAATAATTTATAATTATTCAATGAACTTTAAAATAATACAGAGTTTGAACCAAAGCTACTGTGATTGACTGAACTTGTAACCGAAACTCTAGCCCCGCCCATGGGTCTGCTGGGGCTATGAAGGTGTAGATACTAACTCCATGAAGTGGTAAGTTAAGCAGGAAAAGGAGGTTACTCAGACTTGAATTGCATGGCACAATTGAAGTGTGCCTTTTACCGAAGAAAACGTGAATCATGTAAATTGTAAAGATAACATAACATAAACACAAACAACTCTATGGATAAATCAGAGGTCCTTACTTTGAGTTTCACCGTCACTATTATCAAAGGAGTTTCGTTCTGTACGAGTTTACCAAGGGTATCTTAATTAAAAAGTCAGTTTTTGGCAGGAGGCCTGAATTCCTTAAAGCTGCAACACCAGCACTAAAATCATTAGCTGTCGAGAGGCCTGACCTGAATGATTGGAAGCTCAAGGAACATCCTGACAAGAAATTTGAAAACCTTTACGGTGATGTTGTGAGAGAGAAGCAAGCTACCTGGGAGTGCTTGGGGAAACAGATCAATGATGTTTTGCCTGGAGGAAGAAACAGGCCTACTATGAAGAATCCTTTAAACCCTAATGCCGACATTCCTGCATAGCCAAGTGGTGATAAGCCCACTTCTAGCTCACTTTTGAGAACATCTATGTCCGAAGAAATTCGAGAAGCTTTGCCAAAGGCGCTTCAAGAAGTTTTTAGAACTTATAAGGTTTGCAGGTGAGATCGCTGAAAATGACTTGTTAAATTTCTGCCTTTGTTGTTTAATATCCAGTGAACAGTGATTTTGGGTATTCATCTTAGTCACACAAATTGTTAGAGTCTGAGAGTAAGTAGGTGTCTGGCCATGGATTTCAAATAATTCACTTTTTTGGAATTTATGAAGTTGGAGTTGGTTATACTTTTTGCAAAGGAGAGAATAGAGCACTTTATTTGATGAAGACCGAGTTGGTAAATAGGTTTGGAGCACTTCTCCAAATTGTGATAAATTCGCATGGCTGAATGATTTCTTGCAGAAACCTGGGTCAATGAGGTGGTTTATTGACCTTGGTTTGATTGCTCTAAAATTGGCGATCATGTCTGGGCTTTCTAAAATTGCTTTTGCTCCCTCCAACTTCTGTCACCTGTTGTCTCCCTAATCTTGTCTCACTAATAAGTAATAACATCACCCTTCGGGGTGGCCCAGTGGTTTGAACTTGGGACTTCCATGTTGGAGGTCTCAAGTTCGAAACC